TGTGTGCTGAGTCGAGGTGCTGTGTGCTGAGTCGAGGTGCTGGGTGCTGAGTCGAGGTGCTGGGTGCTGAGTCGAGGTGCTGGGTGCTGAGTCGAGGTACTGGGTGCTGAGTCGGGGGCCGGGAGGACAGGGGGCCGGGGGGCGGAGTTCAGATGCTGTCGGTGTCCAGCATGCGGCCCAGCCCATCGCAGATGCGCTGCAGGTGGGAGCAGTAAGGCTCGGCCGGCCCGTACAGCGCCGCCAGGAAGTCCCCGTTGGCAAAGTGGCCGAACACGTGGTTGATGCGGCCGTGGGACTTGGCGGTGAGGTGGGGCCCGGTGGCCTGGTGCAAGAGGTCTCGGCACTCCAGCAGCCCGGCGGCCAGCACGCGGCGGTCGAAGGTGAAGGCCACCTGCTGGAAGCTCACGGCCGTCATGGCCAGGCTGCGCGCGCGCCGCCGGAAGTGGCCCAGCTGGGCCAACTGGTCCGCGCCCAGCCGCCCGGCCCGCAGCACCACCGCCACCTTCACCGCCACCTTGACCAGGTCCTTCAGCACCCGCTGCGCCTCCTTGCGGCTGCGCGTGAACTCCTTGCTGGCCCGGTACAGCTCATCCAGCACCTGCGTGCTCGTGTCGTCCGCAAACACGGCCACCATGGCCTTGGAGGACATCTTGCTCAGGACCTTCTTCTGCGCCTTCAGGGCCAGGCTCTGCGTGCTGAACGTGTCCATGGCGGCCTGCGGACAAGACGGATGGACGGACAGACGGGGCTGATGTCTGAGGAATGAACGGGGAAATGTGTAGGGCCTCTGCCTGCCCACCGCACACCCACGGAATCCTGGCTGAGTGGACCAGGTTCCTGTCCCTCTGTGAGTCTAGCCTGCTGTTCCTGCCCCCCACCCCCACCCCTAGTCCGAGCCCACAGCTCCTGAGGTCTAGGCCCTGGACGGTGGCAGGGATGGGGAGGAGGTAATTATGGTGACTTGTGTCCCCAGCCTCCCGGAGAGACAGGTGCTGGTGGCTCACGCCTGTCAACCCAGCTACTCAGGAGGCTGAGATCTGAGGATCTCCAGTCGAGGCCAGCCTCCTATCTCCCATGAACCACCAGAAAACTGGAAGTGGCGCTGTGGCTCAAGTGGT